TCGGACCCCCAGGCTTTCCACCTGCGCGGGGAACATGGGTACTGTTGGGATGATGGAGGTGACGGCGTCAGGAGCTCAGTGGAGCTCCAGGCAGGAGATGAACCCTTGCCATTCGAACCCCGCCCGCCATCTGTGTGGGCTCGGGATCCTCACTTACTAGATGGGTTAGGCTCCTGGCAAAGAGGACTGCGCCATGCAACTTACTTATTTTTTTTTTTTTGAGAGAGGGAAGGACAGAGAGAAACATCGACGTGAGAGAAACACATCGATGGGTTGCCTCCTGCACGCGCCCAACCAGGGCCTCGGCCGGGGAGGAACCTGCACCAGAGCTACGTGCCCTTGACAAGAATTGAACCCGGGACTCTTCGGTCCGCAGGCCGACGCTCTATCCGCTGAGCCACACCGGCCAGGGCTGCAACTTACGTTTTAACCTGAGCCGAACCCTCTTCTAAACGTGGTGTGTGTCTTCCCGGCTGGGCCGCTGGGATGCGTGAATTAAAAGGGGTTTTCAGTGAAAGCCCGGCTACCAGACAACCTGGTGTTCGCAAAACCACCAGGAGCAAAACCCATTGAAATACAGCACGAGGAAGTACACATAATTCACAAACGATGTCGCTCGCTTTCATCTCCGACTTCCGCACTGTCCTCAATAGAAGACAGACGCGGGGGAGATTTAACTCAGATGTGAAGGGTGCAGGAATGCCCCGTTACCAGGATGTGATGTTTCGGTGCTGCAGAAAAATGTAATTGTATTCAGAACTGTATTTAAAGATTAAAAGGGGGGCTGCCTACCACATCTAGCCCCCAATTCACAATTAGAAGCCAAGTAAAGGCGGTGTGTGTGTGTGTGTGTGTGTGTGTGTGTGTGTCTGGGGGAGGGGTGGGTTCTAACAGCCTGCTAAGAATGGAAGTGTTTTTTTTGAAAGTTTTTACACATTTCGGCTGTTTTTATTTGAACAGTTTCCTGCAGTAATGACATTGATTTGGAAAAGGGAGGGCTGGGATTTTATCCGACAGTAATTCACGGAGGGACTGGCGTGCGGGAGGCCCCGTGGGCGGCGCAGGAGGGACCGGAGGCCACCAGATTCCCGTTCCCTGCGGGGTCGGTTCTGGAAGGGGACAGAAGAAAGGTCGGGGAGTTAGCATGGAGAGCAGGGGGCCGGGGGGGGGAGGACCCAAGGGGCAGACGATCTTTGGAGAGAGGGTAAATAACACGCAGAAATAGCTCGGCACCAGCAGCAAGGACATCGTAGGGAGACTTTTCGGCCTCTCTGGAAAGATTTAGGGATGTTCTCTTGCTCGTTAATGAATTGAATCTCAGCAGCCAGAGGGACCCTCTCCCCCTGCTTCCAGCACACCTTCCCGCCCTCCCTGCGGCCCGTAGCCCTTTCTGCTCCCATTGTAGCTACGGGTGCCCGGGCCTGCCTCTCCCTCCAGTCGCGAACTCCTTGCCAGCAGGGGCTGCGTCTCCTTCAGCCTTTTATTCTTCAGGGTCCTTATCGGACGGCCCTGCCCTTGGTAAGCACTTAATACTCGCTGGTTCGACTGAGTGTTCACTAGGAATTCTTTAAGAATGTTTTAGGCAAAGAACACGTCTCTGTGTAAACATGTGACGAGTACGCTGGAATATTAACGCGCCAGGATTGCCTGAGTGCCCGGCGGTTACAGATTTCTCTTCTTTTAATCTTTTCTCCACCTCTCCCTGTTCCTCCCCCTCCCCCAAGTGGTTAGAACCTACAGGAGATATTCTGATTATTTAAGATCAGAGGCGTCAGGACCAGTGGAGGCAACGCAGAGTCAGTCCAGCCGGGAGAGGAGAAACCAGGAGGGCGGTGTAGCTACAGCTGTTGAGATTTTAAAGTAGGGGCAACCGACAGAAAGGCCTCGAGGGGTCAGGCAGGGAGTGTGAGTGAGGGAGGGTAAGGACACCCAGGGCCTGAGTGCAGGAGGGTAGAGGCGGAAAAGCTCAGGGCAGGAGACCCTAGGGCAGGGGTGGGCAACCTTTTTGTGAGTGCGTGCCAAAACCAGCAACATCTCTGACTCAAAATTCTCCTGCGTGCCAACCCTAATTTTTTGAGAACATGTTATGTCTACTTGATATCTCTTAAGGTGTATGTATGTGAAGAACCTTGAAGAAATAATAAAATCCATTCGAGCGACAAAAACACAGCCTATGACAGGGGTGGGCAAACTTTTTGACTCGAGGGCCACAATGGGTTCTTAAACTGGACCGGAGGGCCGGAACAAAAGCATGGATGGAGTGTTTGTGTGAACTAATATAAATTCAAAGTAAACATCATTACATAAAAGGGTACGGTCTTTTTTTTTTTTAGTTTTATTCATTTCAAACGGGCCGGATGCGGCCTGCGGGCCGTAGTTTGCCCACGGCTGGTCTATGATGATGAAAAATGCATTTATTTTTTAATGTATACATGCTATGTAAAATTATTTATTTATCTAAGATGCACCTACACTGAATTTATCTGAAAAATAAAAAAAGTCTATATTAAGAAAAAAATTGTAAATGGAAGATTATAAGAGAGGGTTTCGTGTGCCGGCAAAAGTTACTGGCGTGCCATGTTTGGCACGCGTGCCAAGGGTTGCCCACCCCTGCCCTAGGGCGTGGTGGGGACTTTGCTGAACTGGCAGCCACCGGACCTACCAAAGACAGTCCCCTCCCTTAGCTGGGGCCGATTCCCGCCTGGTGGAGAGGCGGCCAGTGTGTGGCCAAATCGTCTGATTTTCCAGGAGATGCTGGTCATAAAAGTTTGTCTATTAATTAAAGAAAATATTTAAAACCCTCTGCAGGCCAAACCAAACATGTGTAAGGGCTGCATGTGACCCGAGAGCCAGAATTTGCAAGCTCTAACCTAGCGGTTCTCAACTGGAGGCGTGTCCTTGCCTCCCAGGGGACATTCAGCCATGGACAGAGGCCTTTTCAATGGTCACAGCTCAGGGGCATGCTGCTGCCTCTGGTGGGCAGGGCCAGGGATGCTGCTAAGCTCCGGACAGTGCACGGGAGACCTCTCTACGCTCAACAAAGGCCCGCCGGCCCAGAGCGTCCACAGAGCTGAGGCGACTCTGGTTGTGTGGTTCCTGGGGCCGGGCTGAGGTCTCCGGCCTCAAGTAGGAACGGCTCAGAGATGAACCTCTGGTGGCATCAGCCGGGCAGCGAGCCAGGGCCAGGGCTCTTTGCAGAAATTCTGATTCCATTTCAAAAACAGCTTTTGATGCCACGTGTTCTCAAAAAGCGCCGCAGGCCGGAGATCTGAAATGTAGCCAATGAAAACGGCTCCTAACCCCGTGCTCGCACTTGACCTCCCCAAACCTCTGTCTCCCCATCTGTACGAGGGGACACGTGTGGCCCATTCAGCAGGGGGTCAGAGGATTTTGCTCCCGTAGGAGGAGGGCTGACCTCTGCTTCCTTCTGGAAGGTCGGGGAAAGGATTGCCTGCCTCAGCGGCCGCATCAAGGACTGCTCCCTGCCCACCATCCCCAGGACCCGAGACCACCCAACAGGAATGCCTTCTGCTGCCTCTTCCCAGTTCCAAACAGCAGGACCAGCCGCTATGGAAGATTCTCGGTGCTTCACTCACCAACCTCTCGCTGGACAGGCTAGTGCAAGGCTATGCCCTTCTCCCACCCACAGTCTCCCCTGAAGGGCCTCATCCTCAGGAGGCCTAGTGGGACCCTCTCTCCCCACCGTCCTTCCAAAGGGACCGAGTCTGACCTCTGGCTGTGTCTCCTCCTCTCCCAGTGCAGAACGTTCCTCAGAGAAAGCGGGGCCCCCAGGACTCCCACCCAAGGGCAGCAGCCCCTCCCAGCTGTCCTGCCCGGCTCCTCGCATCCCAGGGCCTTGAGGCCCAGCAAAAGGAGGCGGGGGGTGGGGGGAGTCAGTGCCTGCAAACAGGAGGGAAACAGGCCGGAGCCCAGGATCGCACCTCTGGGGTAGGACCCTCCGGCGGCCGAAGGCCCCGTCCTCTCGTTTCTGAAGCTCTGTTCTCCCTCCACTGCTTCCTCCCTGAAGCAGGCGCTTGGGCCGCTCCTGCAAACAGCCAAACCTGTGGGAAGAGGCTGGGCATCGTCTCCCTTTCTCCCAGAGCAATGCAGTCAGCACGGCCCTAGGCTCCCTGGGAAAAGCAGGGTCACCCGGACACCCTGCCTTCGGCCACGCTGTCCTCAGGTGCGAGGACCTCCTCCGCAGCCCCCTCCCTGGGGTCCCGAGGACTTCTGTCACCCTAACTGACGGTCTAGGAACTCTCAGGCCAGAGCAGGCCCCCACCCAGCCACCAGGAAGTCCCCTCCTGCTGGGAGGGTTGTCACAGGGTGTGTGGCTGCCACTGAGCCCACGCAGAGGAGGCCTAGCCAGGCCAGCCAGGAGGTCGAGCCATTGGTGAGGCCCTCACTGACCAGCTGGCGGAAGAGTCGGCGGGTCCCCCTGCTTCTTCAGGGAGCCCAGGAAACATTCTCCGCAGTGGAGGCCTGGGGCCACCCGGGAAGGGGGCCAGAGGGTACCTGGGCCTGTCATCCCCAGAACCAAGTGAGGACAGGGAGCGGCCAGGACTCACCCTTCTGCTGGGGACACATCCACTGCCCTAACCGGGCATCCTGCCACCGTGTGGTGGCGGCAGCCAGGCCCAGGGCCCATCCGAGGGCCTCAGGACCATGGGAGGCACAAGGTGGGCCCAGCAGCGCCCCCTGCCCCCACCAGTTCTTACTGCTCAGCCGCTGCCAGCAAAACCAGCCGCCTGGCACTCGTCAGGTGAGCCCCCTGGCCTCCACCTCCCAGAAGCCCCAGCCTCATCCGTGAGGGTCAGAGAGACCCGAGGCCTGGAGCCACCCAGCCTCATCCGTTAGGGTCAGAGAGACCCGAGGCCTCGAGCCACCCAGCTAGCTGGTGGAATAGTCTGGATGTGAGGGGGGCCCCTTCCCTGCTGCCCAGGGGACACCCAGTGGGAGCCGGCAGAGCCCACACTGGCAACCAGCCCTGAACACCTGGGGCCTCCTGAGCCTCAGAATATCATGCAGGGGCTTCTGAGAGGCCCCCGTGCCAGGGTGAGTTCTGGAAGTGCCCCAAGGGACCCCAAGTTCAGAGGAGTGGGGTGGGCAGGGTCCAGGCGTGTTTTCTGCCTGCTGAGTGCACAGCCCAGCGTTGGCCTGCTGCCCCTCTTGCTGTTGGGGGGAGGGGGGGAGGTGTAGGAGGCGGGGCAGGGAAAGGCCACTGGCTCTGCAGCCCGCAGGTGAAGTCCCAGTCCCTTCACTCTAGCTGTGTGGCCTTGGGCAAGGCACTAACCTCTCTGTGCCTCAGTTTCCTGATCAGTCAAGTGGGGGAAGTGAGGGGTCGGTGAGGAAACGGACACAAAACCTTGAGTGCAGGCCCCACACCAGCATGTGCTCCGACCTGTGAGCCACTCTTATGGTCACAACTGCTGTGTCCAGAGCGGCTGAGCTGTGGGGCCCCAGGCCCGGGCGGAGGGAGGTCTGCTCACTCCAGGAGCGTGCGGAAAGCCTCAGCCGGGGCTCCGACACCTCTGGGCGGGGGGTGATAAGACCCTGTGGTGTGAGAGGCCCCTGGCCCAGGTGCCTGCAGGACCCCGTGGGAGGAGGAGGAGTGTTACTGCTGTGTCTTCGTGCCTCACCGCTCCTTTGCCCTGGTTCCCATGGCAGCGGCTGGTACCCGGTTGGCTTGGACAGCTCCGGTGACCCCACTGACCCCTGGGGGTCGCCAGCGCTCTCAGGCTCCCTGGCCCAGAAGCCCAGCCGAGGCCTGAGCCGGGGTGGCCCTAGGTGCTTCCCTGGGAGGTGGCTTCCCCCCACTTCCCCTCCCCGCTGCCCGGGGGCCGGCTCATCGCTGGAAGTGGGACTTGAAACGCAGCCAAGGAGAGAGGCCTTCCGCAACGCCCGGCCCGCGAAACAAACAAATAAATAAATAAATAATCAGGGCTGTCTCGGCTGATAAACGGTCTCTCCCTCCAGGACGCGTCCCCCTGCCCCCCGCCCCCCACCTCCAGGCAGATCCATCCCAGCAAGAGCTTAATAGCCCCATTTAAGGCTTTTCCTTTTCAGCACGGAATTGAGCTGCTCCTGCCATTACGAGGTTTTCAGCTTCTCCCTGAAATCAAATTACTGACTCCATTTAATTTTTTAAAAGCTCGGATGATTTCCCTTCTTGAATCGGAGCCGTGACTCCAAGGCCAACCCCCACGCCCGCCCCAGGCCCCCTCCCCACCCCCCCCCAGCAAGGCAGGTCCCCTGCGGGCAGCCGCTACCCAGGGCCAGCCGCCCCCATGCCAGGGCAAGCCTGACACCTAGAGGGGAGCCAGCAGGAGGCCCAAGACTCTGGACAGCTGGCTGTGGCCTGGGCTGGGCGGAGAGAAGGCCTGGGTCAGCTCCCAGGGGCTTTGGCGCTCAAAGAGCCTCCGAGGCTGGCGGGGAGGAGGTGAGGGCCGGTGCTGAGCTGTGGGCTCCCTGTTGGCTGGTTCCCAGGGCCCCGGGTACCGCCCTGGACCGCATCACTCGGCAAATGTTTACGGAGCGCATCCTCTGGCCCTGGGAAGCGAAGACTGAGTCAAAGGCCCTCCTGCGAGAGCACAGTGTGTGTGCGTGTGCGTGTGAAGGCGGGTGGAGACCGACATAAACACGGGCACGGACAATTGCAGAGAACGCCACGTGCTCCGGAGAGACCCAGCACGCAGCGGGGTGGGGTGGGGGGCTTTGGGCGGGACTGTCAGGGTGCCCCGCTGAGGGGGTGAACCTGGAAAGAGCTGGGGGGCATCCAGGCAGAGGGACTGCGAGTGGGAGGTGTGGAGGGACAGAAAGAAGGCCGCGACGTTGGAATGAGCAGGAGGAAGCGGAGGGCAGGGCGGGCCTGCCGGGCCTGCAGGCCAAGGCGGGAGCCCAGACTTTGTTCTTGCTTTAGAAGCGGACATCAGGGGGACAAGAGAGAGCAGCAGCAAGGGGACCGTGGGAGGCCGTCCTGAGCAAGACAGGCCAACCCGTCCCGCTGGAAGGAAAGGGCCCCTCTGAGGGTGGCGTTTGAGACGTGTCACTGGCCTGCAGCCTGCCTGTCTCTCTCCTGCCCCCCTCAACCCCCCTTTTCCAGCAGAGCCACCCAGCTTGGCGGCCTCATGGGCCAGGGGCGGACACACCGAGAAAGCCCTGGAAACCGGGGCGGCCCCTTTACCAAGTGGCCCTCATGTTTAACCACCTTGGAGAGGAGACCGAGGGGATGCCGTTAATGAAATCGCCAGGCTTCACCTGGCGTAAAAGGCTCTTGGCCCCCAGCGGGCGGCGATTTGCAAGGCTGCGAGGGCCGGGCATTAACTGTTCTGGGCACTCTTCCCAGCTCTGCGCGGGAGCAGACCACTCTCTCCCTCTCCTTGCTCCCTGCCGGCCGACTCCATGCCCCGATGGCTGTTAATTAGACGGTGTGCAGGCTCCTCTGTCCTTCCTCAAGGTGGGACCGGGCTGTGACCAAGGCACCCGTGCCCGATCCCTGATCCCGGGGCCCTGTGTGCACGTGTGCGAGTGTTTGCCCCGCCTCAGGGACCTCCAGACACTGAGCCTCTGCAATGCCAAGTCCCGACAGGAAGCGGCTCTTCCCCTCCTGGTCAGCTCCCTGCTGGGCGGGCCTCGGACTACTTGGGCTGTAGGTGCTTAGACATCGGTGTCTCCACACCCTCAGAGCTGGGATCGGCATCCCCCGACTCCCAGTCTCCCCCCCCCCCCCGCCCCCGTGACTCTGTGCAGCCCAGGGTCCCCGATGCACGTGTCATCCTCTTCCGTTACCCGGAGCAGCCAGCGGTCCATTTCCCTTTGGGGTTCCCCTCCTTGAGCACAAAGCCCGTGTTCATGCCCTACCCCATCCAGGGTCACTGCCTTTCCCTTGTTGAAGGTCTCGGATTCCTACATGCTGGACGCTGCCGGCGGGAGCCTTCCTGGATTGCTACATTTGATCTTATTCTTGGCTGCTAGTCACTCGGGGAATCGGGGTATCATCTAACCTGGACTGGAGCCGATAATGTCCCTAGCTCGTAAGCATCACTTAATAAAACGTGCCGCGTCAGAATGAGTCTTCTGCTTTCGATCCT